GAGTCTTCTCCAGCACCAGTTAGAAAGCATCAATTCTTCAGCACTCAGCCTTCTTTATGATCCAACTCTCACATCCGTACATGACTGCTGGGAAAACCATAGAACTATGATGCAGAGAAAACCAACCAGCACAGTAGAAAGAACATTCCAGCCTTGAGTCAGAAAAGTCTAGTCTTGAGTGTGCCTCTTTCTGATCACATGACCTTCAGCAAGGTCATTTTCCACTTATTGAAACCTCAGCTTCCTGTCTCTAAAATGAGGGAGTTGGGAGGGAATAACCTCTACCTTGAAGGATGGTTGTAAGGATTCAAAACAAAACATAGCAATTCTAGCTCTGAGTAAGGGCTTCAGAACCAGTAGGTATTACCTACCACCAGCTGGTTTGAATCTCCAGTGAAATAATCATGGCAAGTTTCCTGCTAACCAGTATGGGCCTATGCCCTGATTAATTTGAGTGGATTATTTACAGTTCTCCATCATTCATTCCCTTATTCATTCAATGTGCCCATTCATAACCCCTGGCAATTGAATATTGATTATTCGTTTTTGGAGTTGTTCTCCTGAGACATGCACCAAAGCCCGGAACAGAGGGAATAAGGGTGGGTGTCAGATGATCACAGAGTTGGGACGGGCCCTCCTGGACAGATCTTATTTCTGTTGGGGTTCTATTATATAAGGTGTAACCCCAAGCACAGGTGGGCATTTAATAAGTATCCGATTAGTCTGTGATTCCATACTATGTCAGTAGAGATGTAATTTATTAACCTGGGCTCCTGGCATCCTTCCAGCACATGTATAATAGAATGATATTTTTTTCATGAAGAAATATAAATTAAATTAATTGGCATGCGTATTTAATTGGAACTTCCGTGACAGTAGATGGGCTCCCCCACACACGCGCACACACACACACACACACCCCTTTCTCAGCAAGGGGCATTTCCTTCTGAATGCTTGCAGACTGAAGAGAGGCCAGCCCCAGTTCCTGGGCTCCCCCGGGAGCTGGCTTTCAGCAGGGTTTAGAGCAGCGCAGAAAGTGAACTGACCCTGGAAAAATGGTAAGTNAATGGTTTTTCCTACTTTCTTCAATTTAAGCCTGAATTTTGCAGTAAGGAGTTCATGATCTGAGCCACAGTCAGCTCCTGGTCTTGTTTTTTGCTGACTGTATACAGCTTCTCCATCTTTGGCTGCAAAGAATATAATCAATCCGATTTCGGTGTTGACCGTCTGGTGATGTCCATGTGTAGAGTCATCTCTTGTATTGTCGGAAGAGGGTGTTTGCTATGACCAATGCATTCTCTTGGCAAACTCTATTAGCCTTTGCCCTGCTTCATTCTGTACTCCAAGGCCAAATTTGCCTGTTACTCCAGGTATATCTTGATTTCCTACTTTTGCATTCCAGTCACCTATGATGAAAAGGATATCTCTTTTGAGAGTTAGTGAAGAGGAAAATTTAAAATTTTTACATAACCTCCTGCTCCTTCTGCCTCTGTAACTCAGCTTGCTCCTTGCAAAGTCTAGAGCAGGTAGGTCTCAGAAAGTGGGGACTCACAATATTAGGAACTGGAGCTTATCTCACTCACCCTTGTCCTGCTCTTTGCATTCACCCTAGCCTCTGCAAACCCGCAAACCTGCTTAATCATGCCTGTCAGTGTATAAAAACACTGTAACCCCTTTGTCCGGGGCTCAGAGCTTGGAGTGTTAAGTCCCCTGGGCCCGCTGGCATAATAAGTCTGAGTTCTCCACCTCTCCAAGTGTTGTACTTGGTTTCTCGAGTACTGGTTTCTGCAACATTTCTTCTAGAAGGTCTTGTAGGTCTTTATAGAGCCATTCAATTTCAGCTTCTTCGGCATTACTGCTTGGGGCATAGACTTGGATTACTGTGATATTGAATGGCTTGCCTTGGAAATAAACCAAGATCATTCTGTCATTTTTGAGATTGCACCCAAGTACTGCATTTCAGACTGCATTTTGTTGACTATGAGGGCTACTCCATTTCTTCTAAGGGATTCTTGCCCACAGTAGTAGATATCATGGTCATCTGAATTAAATTTGCCAATTCCAGTCCATTTTAGTTCACTGATTCCAAATATGTTGAGGTTCACTCTTGCCATCTCCTGTTTGACCACTTCCAATTTATCTTGATTCATGGACCTTAGATTCCAGGTTTCTATGTAATATTGTTCTTTACAACTTTGGACTTTACTTCCATCGCTAGTCACATCCACAACTGGGCGTTGTTTTCGCTTTGGCTCCATCTCTTCATTCTTTCGGGAGTTATTTCTCCACTCTTCTTCAGTAGTATACTGGGCACCTACCGACCTGAGGAGTTCATCTTTCAGTGTCATATCTTTTTGCCTTTTCATACTGTCCAGCAAGATGGTAAAAGGGGCAAAGTCTCATTTAAAATCAAATCCCCTGTCCACCAGAGACGCTTGGAGGGTTCAAACAAGACCTTGTGCGCACCAGGACCCAGAGACCCCGCAGAGACTGAGTCAGAACCGTGTGTGAGTGTCTCCTGTGGAGGTCTGGGTCACCAGTGGCCTGCCGCAGGGCCAGGGTTCTGGGTGCAGGAAACTGGTCACACAGCCTCTGGCATAAGTCCTCTTGGAGGAGGTCTCCATTAACTCCACCATCAAGCCACTGAGCAGATGACCCACAAACTGCAGAATAATTATACCAAAGAAATTATCACACTGTTAAGAAAGTTCTAGGATCCACAACAGATCTCCCAACCTGGGGATCTGGCAAAGGGACTGAGAACCCCCAGGGGAATTTAACTTAGGAGGCAGTGGGATTTGATTACAAAACTTAACAAGGCTAGGGCAAGAGACTCTCGGAGGGCACAAGCAAAGCCTTGTGTGCACCGGGACCCAGGAGAAAGGAGCAGTGACCCCACAAGAGACTGACCTAGACTTGCCTGTGAGTGACCAGGAGTCCCCAGCAGAGGCAAGGGTCGGGGGCGTTGATGAGGCAGTGCAGGACCCTTTGAAGGAGGTCACCATTATCTTCATTACCTCCACCATAGTTTGGTCTCAGGTCAAACAACCTGAGGGAACACAGCCCCTTCCATCAACAGAAAATTGGATTAAAGATGTACAGAGCATGGCCCCACCTATCAGAACAAGACCCAGTTTCCCCCACAGTCAGTCTCTCCCAACAGGAGGCTTCCAGAAGCCTCTTATCCTTATCTGTCAGAGGCAGACAGAATGAAAACTGTCTTCCAGATGTTCAAGAACTTCCAGATATTGAAGCTGGATTTAGAAAAGGCAGAGGAACCAGAGATCAAATTGCCAACATCTGCTGGATCGTTGAAAAAGCAAGAGAGTTCCAGAAAAACATCTATTTCTGCTTTATTGACTATGCCAAAGCCTTTGACTGTGTGGATCACAATAAACTGTGGAAAATTCTGAAAGAGATGGGAATACCAGACCACCTGACCTGCCTCTTGAGAAACCTGTATGCAGGTCAGGAAGCAACAGTTAGAACTGGACATGGAACAACAGACTGGTTCCAAATAGGAAAAGGAGTACGTCAAGGCTGTATATTGTCACCCTGCTTATTTAACTTATATGCACAGAACATCATGAGAAACGCTGGGCTGGAGGAAAACAAGCTGGATTCAAGATTGCTGGGAGAAATATCAATAACCTCAGATATGCAGATGACACCACCCTTTTGGCAGAAAGTGAGGAACTAAAGAGCTTCTTGATGAAGTGGAAGAGGAGAGTGAAAAAACTGGCTTGAAACTCAGCATTCAGAAAACGAAGATCATGGCATCTGGTCCCATACTTCATGGCAAACAGATGGGGAAACAATGGAAACAGTGGCAGACTTTATTTTCTTGGGCTCCAAAATCACTGCAGATGATGACTGCAGCCATTAAATTAAAAGATGCTTGCTCCTTGGAAGAAAAGCTATTATCAACCATGAGAGCATATTGAAAAGCAGAGACATTACTTTGTTATAGCCATGCTTTCCGGAAAACAAACTCACTCAGAAGGACAATGCAGATAGTGGAGTGCAGTTTATTACACCAGTGGGCCCAAGGCAGAGTCTCCTCTTAGCCAAGGACCCCGACCAGCATTTGTGAAAATCTTTTATACCCCATGTGTACGTGTCCAAACCCACCACCCCAATCCCTTGATGCTTACAAAGGAAGGGTAAATACAATCACAATAACCCCATCATTCACGTGTTACGTGTTCAAACAGTTAATAATCAATAAGCCCACTGTTACATTCCAACCAGTTAATAACTGATAAGTCTGTGCTTATGTTCTGATAGATACTGTCCGGAGGCAGGGGTGATTATTGTCTGTTTTCTCTTAGGTGACGAGTAACCTGGATATGATCTTCAAGATCATAGATCTTAGATCATAGATCATAAGATCCCCCTGTCCGGAGGGGGTCTTATCCTTCCTTTGTCGTTCCCACAGGCACTAAGCTGAGAGTTCAGAGTCCACTGGAGAGGTGGCCGAGCACGATCAGCACAGACAGGCCTGAGATGGAGTCCAGGCCCTATGAATTCCTTCTTCAACTTTGCCAACAAAGGTCCATCTAGTCAAAGCTATGGATTTTCCAGTAGTCACATATGGATGTGAGAGTTGGACTATAAAGAAAACTGAGTGCGGAAGAAATGAACTTTTGAACTGCAGTGCTGGAGAAGACTCTTGAGAGTCCCTTGGACTGCAAGGAGATCAAACCAGTCATTCCTAAAGGAAATCAGTCCCGAATTTTCATTGGAAGGACTGATGCTGAAGCTGAAGCTCGAATCCTTTGGCCACCTGATACGAAGAACTGACTCCTTGGAAAAGACCCTGATGTTGGGAAAGATTGAAGGCAGAAGGACAAGGGGATGACAGAGGATGAGATGGTTGGATGGCATCACTGATTCAATGGACATGAGTTTGAGCAAGCCCCAGGAGTTGGTGATGGGCAGGGAGGCCTGGTGTGCTGCAGTCCATGGGGTCACAGAGAGTTGGACATGACTGAGCGACTGAACTGACTGACTGTTCATGGGGTTCTCAAGGTAAGAATATGAAATGGTTTGCCATTCCCTTCTCCAGTGGGCCACTTTTTGTCAGAACTCTCCACCATGATCAGTCCATCTTAGGTGGCCCTACACAGCATGAGGCCACCCATTTTCATAATGACAATGCAACAGCCAACTCTTGTTGGTCACAATTTACAGATGAGGAAACTGAGATGCAGCAATAGTGAATAACTTGGTTCAACATTACACCCTGAGGAAGTGGCAGAAACACCAATTCAGTCACTCCCCTCCCCCATATCCCTGTTAGCCACTCCTTTTACTGGCAAACCTCCTGGGATGGGAAATTCCACAACTTGAAGCCCAAGCTGAAATGGAGAAAACAATCTGCAAAAGAGCATGGAGCATGTATTCCCATTAAAAAAATATACATATACACTCCATATAGATCATATACACACAATATAGATCTGATTATCATGGGGGAAAGACTTTGGAATAATTTCCATCTTCTACCTGTTCAAGTATTCTGAATTTTTCATTTGTTTTTGTCCCACTGCTCGGCTTGCAGGATCTTAGTTTCCCCACCAGGGGTTATTCAGTCACTCCCCTCCCCCATATCCCTGTTAGCCACTCCTTTTACTGGCAAACCTCCTGGGATGGGAAATTCCACAACTTGAAGCCCAAGCTGAAATGGAGAAAACAATCTGCAAAAGAGCATGGAGCATGTATTCCCATTAAAAAAATATACATATACACTCAATATAGATCATATACAAACAATATAGATCTGATTATCATGGGGGAAAGACTTTGGAATAATTTCCATCTTCTACCTGTTCAAGTATTCTGAATTTTTCATTTGTTTTTGTCCCACTGCTCGGCTTGCAGGATCTTAGTTTCCCCACCAGGGGTCGAACCTGGGCCACAGCAGTGAAAGTGAAGTTTTGTAACTCAGGTTGGGACTTGAACCCACACACTGGGACTTGATGCCAAAATCTTGGCGCTCTGTGCACCAGTGCCAAACAGAAATAGAGACAGAGTTATGGAGGAGAAAGAAAGAGTTGCTGTACTTCTTTGCCAGGCAACAGGGGAATACAGTAGGCTAGAGCCTCAAGAACTGTGCCCTGCTTCCTGGTGAATAGAGAGGTTAATCAGGCAAGGGGATATGATAAGGATCAAGGCAGTAACAGCCTTCCCTGTTGGTTGTGGTTAAGAATCTGCCTGCCAATATAGGCGGTACAGGTTCGATCCCTAGTTTGGGAAGATCCGGCAGATATGAGGCAACTAAGCCTGTGCTCCGCAACAAGAGACTAGCTCCCAATCTCCATAACCAGAGAAAGCCTGCACGCAGCAAGGAAGACCCAGTACAGCCATAAATAAGTATGTATATTTTTTAAAAAGCAGTAACAGTCTTGAGACTCACACAGAGACTTGAGACTTGAAAAGAATAGGACTCCACTGAGCGACTGAACTGAACAGTCTTGAATTCTTTCTTCTGCAAAGTTTCAACAGGGTGGGGCTACTGACAAGACTACGGTGTGTCCAGAGCCTTAGGTGGTCCAGTCTCCTAATCTTGATGAGTCTCATTCACCCCTTTAATCTTGCCTCAGGTGGTTTCAGGGCTGCTCCTCCCTTAATTAGCAACTGTTCTGCCCTTTGGAACTCAGAGGTCACAGAGGCTGGAGCCTAGCCTGTTAAGAAATAGGAGGCCGACTTTGCAGGTGGCTCAGTGGCTAAGAATCTGCCTGCCAATTCAGGGGACATGGGTTTGACCCCTGGTCCAGGAAGATTCCACAGATTAACTGCAGATTAACTAAACCCGTGGGCCATAACTACTGAACCTGCACTCTAGGGGGTGCATGCAGTAGTGAGCCCCGCTACTGAGCCTACACTCCACAGCCTGTAGAGGTCACCGTGATGAGAAGCCCCTGCACTGCAAGGAAGGGTAGCCCCACTTGCCACAACTGGAGAAAGCCTGCACGCAGCAATGAAGACCCAGTGCAGCCAAAAAAGGAAAAAATGGGAGACAAAAAGACCCCTGTTCCTGGGAGCCCCAAAGGCCCTGCTTGGCATCAGAAGTGCAGAGTCTTAACCACTGGGCCACCAGGGAAATCCTATGTGGGGATTTTTGACAGTGCTGAAAGTGCTGTTGTTCAGTCACCCAGTCGTGTCCAACTCTTTGCGACCCCAGCACGCCAAGCTTCTCTGTCCTGAACAATCTCCTGGAGTTTGCTCAAACTCATGTCCACCGAGTCGATGATGCCATCCAACCATCTGATCATCTGTTGCCCCCTTTTCCTCCTGAGCTCAGTCTTTCCCAGTGTCAGGTTCTTTTCAAATGAGTCGACTCTTCACATCAGGTGGCCAAAGTATTGGAGCTTCAGCTTCAGGATCAGTCCTTCCAATGAATATTCAGGGTTGACTTCCTTTAGAATTGACCTGTTTGATCTTGCTGTCCAAGGGACTCTCAAGAGTCTTCTCCAGCTCCACAGCTTAAAAATATCAATTCTTCCATGCTCAGCAGCCCACACGACAGGCCAATAAATCCCAGGTGTGGAGGCAAGGAATATGGCTTTATTGGGAAAGCTGGCTGACCGAGAACAAGGCATACTAATGTCTAATAACCATTTCATCTGGGGTCTGGATGCCAGGTTCTTCTATAGAACAGAGAAGTAGAGGAGGTGAGGAAGTCAAGTAGAAAAGCTATTTATCTTGCAAAACAGGAGGGGATGTGTTAAATTTCTCCTTTTCTGCAGTCATTCATAGGTAGGCTATGTCAGATTGTATCTCTGTGGGTTGAACAAAGACACTTTAATAGTCCGGGAGAGGGCAGCTTTCCCAGAGGCAGGCCATTATGAATGATTATAATAAAAAAAGCAAGGCGAAGAAAAGGTTAAAGTCAAAGAAACAGATCCAACTGGGAGTCAGAATTGGTTCTACCCTGTAACACTGTGTGTGGATTTCTGATAGTGCTGAAGGTCAGCGCCCCTAAAGTGCCCTCCCGCCCTTGTTCAAGGGTCAGCAGTACTGTAGTAAGTACACAAGAGAGAGGGGAGAGAGAGTGATCTGTGGGTCCTTGTTCCCAGACCAAATGGCCTGGGCATTCCTGGGCTGGGGGAGGCAGGTGTATTGGGGGAGAATACACAAGCTACCGGATATTTGGGGACAGAAGCACAAATGTCCGGGAGCTCCACTGTGGTGACCCTCACGTATGTGAATGATGGAGGGGGACCTTCCCTGGAGAGAGGTCTGAGTAGGACAAGATGCTCAAGCTGGGTCAGGATGGGCTGCACGTGGCTGTGCAGTTTATCGACAGCACAACCTTCCCTGGCAGCTTCCTGCGGTTGATTTATATCCAGTCACACCTGCATTACGTCACTGAGTTCCCTTAGGCATTCAGGGATTTATATATCTGTTCATTCATTCAGTCTAGTCACATCACAAAGACTTCCCCGTAGCTCAAACGGTTAAGAATCTGCCTGTAATGAAGCAGATGAGAGTTCGATCGCTGTGTCGGGAAGATCCTCTGGAGACGGGAACGGAGATCCACTCCAGTGTTCACTCCAGTATTCTTGCCTGGAGAATCCCCAGGGACAGAGAAGCCTGGCGGGCTACAGTCCATGGGGTCGCAAAGAGTCGGACACGACTGAGCGACTAACGTGTTCACATCACAGCCTCTCCAAGTCGGTCCTCGCTTTCTCCTACTCTCTCCACTCCTTTCTTTGTGCCTCGGGCCCGCCTTCCAGTCTCCGCGCCCTTTCCTCTCATTGGCCCAGCGCCCTCAGTCCCGCCCCCAAATCACGGGGCGGGCAGAAGCTTTTATTCCTACCCCTTCCATTGGGTACACTGCCTAAGCCTCAGATATTTCAACCAATGGAAGCCAACCTATTCAGCCAATGGGGCTGGAGCACTTAATATAAAGAGTGTGCTGCTGCTCCGGAATGGAACCTCCAGGTGGTGTCCGCTCAGCTCCTGGAGCCTCTATGTGGGAGCAGGTCGGGATTGGAAGAAGCTCACCCTGAGTGTTCTGCCTGGATACCCAGCTCCACAAGGCTGAGGAAGGCGCCCTTCTCACCACCATCTCTTGTCATGAGCCACCGAAAAGCTGTTAGGAAGTCGAGCAGGGGTCAGCCCGCAGGTGAAAGGACCAGACAGGTTTTAGATGAAAGGTCTGGTATCACCTGTTGGGGATGGGCGTGCACAGAAGAAAGCATGGACCTCTCTTTTCTTTTTTTTTTTTAGTAGTTGCAACAGGTCAAACAGGGCCCAGCACCCCTATCGTGTGAGTGCCTTTGTTTTGAATCTGGAAGAGAAAGGGAAGTGGGACCCAGAGATGAAGAGCAAGCTGCACGTGTCAAGTGTTGCCTCACGGGACTGACAGTTGTTGACCAAACACCCTGGCTGGGCCACTTTGAGAAGGAAAAGGGGTCCGGGGAGGCAAAAGCGAAAGAACATAGGCGAGCATGAAGGATCCCCGACTCTCCACCCACCTCCTAAATTGAGGCTCTTTTCTTTCTCTCCTCTCAGGCGGCGTTTCACAATTGATGATTTTGAAATCGGGCGTCCTCTCGGCAAAGGAAAATTTGGGAATGTGTACCTGGCTCGCCTCAAGAAAAGCCATTTCATTGTGGCCCTGAAAGTCCTCTTCAAGTCCCAGATAGAGAAGGAAGGACTGGAACACCAGCTGCGCAGGGAGATTGAAATCCAGGCGCACCTTCAGTAAGGACAGTCTCTGTATGAATGAGATCCCCGCGCGTTTTCCCCCCTCAGAGACTTCCAGATGGAGCTGTTACTCTCCTGGCCCCAGCACAATTTGCCCCTTTGTGTGACCAGTCATTTGTAATAGCATCATGAATTGGCCCTCAGGGAGGAGTCGTGACCCTTCGTCCTTTTGTCCCCCAGACACCACAGTATCCTTCGCCTGTACAACCACTTCCATGATGCACGCCGGGTGTACTTGATTCTAGAGTATGCTCCAAGGGGTGAGCTCTACAAGGAGCTACAAAAGAGCCCCACGTTTGATGAACAGCATACCGCTACGGTGAGGCAGAGGAGGCTGAGGGCTAGGGTTCACGTTTCCTATGGGCTCATGGCGGTCCCTGCTTACGGCTTTCATGAGGGTTCAGATTGCTTCTTTTTAAAAAAAAAAACTTGTATGAATCAATGAGTTGATTTATGGCTGTGCAGGGTTTTTGTAGACATGTGGGACTTTCTCTACATGCACCGGCTTCTCATTGCAGTGGCTTCTCTTGCTATGAAGCATGGGCTCTAGGGTGCGTAGGCTCAGCAGTTGCGGCACACTGGCTTAGTTGCAGCGCACTGGCTTAGTTGCTCTGTGGCATGTGGAATCTTCCCAGATGAGGACTTGAACCTGTGTCTCCTGCATTGGCAGGTGGATTCTTTACCACTGGACCACCAGGGAAGTCCTGAATTGCTTTTTTCTATCAATTGTACATAGTGACTCTTATATCCTACAATTTTACATTTGGATACCCTATGGTATCGCTGACTCAACTTGAGTAAACTCTGGGAGTTGGTGATGGATAGGGAGGCCGGGCATGCTGCAGTCCATGGGGTCGCAAAGAGTTGGACATGACTCAGCGGCTGAACTGAACTGAATAATTATCCCCGGGACATTAATAAGTAGTGTGTATAAGTTTGCATTCTTTGGTTTTAAGCAACAGAATCTAACTGCATTACCTTATGATGGAAAGAAACATGAAAGGCTGTGAGGGAGTTCACTGAGTAAATGAATGAAACTGACTTAGAAAGCCAGGGATTTTTGGAGGGCTCCAGGTGGGAATGACAGCCATTATCACCTCATGGCCGGCTTCATTTCCAGACTGCTTTTTCTTTGCTCACACAGGTAATGGAGGAGTTGGCAGATGCTCTGACCTACTGCCATGAAAAGAAGGTGATTCACAGGGATGTTAAGCCAGAGAACCTGCTGCTGGGGCTCATGGGTGAGGTGAAGATGGCAGACTTTGGCTGGTCTGTGCACACACCCTCTCTAAGGTAGGGCAGGCGGTGGCACCCCGGGTGCTAGTTAAGAATGATCCAACTTAATTCATTTCACATGTAAGACCCAGCTAAAAACCTGGGTTTGTATTTCAATGCTGCTTTTTGAAATGCATATTTTAATAAGTATTTGTAGACTGAAAGAATGTGGTTCAACTATATCTTCTATTTTTTAATGTTTACATAAAATTATACCAATAAGTTTCCGTGTAAGTACATTAAGAATGATTGTGCCATAATTCCAGGAATTTTACTCTATCAATAAACCATAATTAATTTACTTGGTCCCTCTTGGTGGACCACCAGTTTGTTTCAAAACTTCCTAGATCATAAGCTAAATAATGTAGGAAGAATATCAGAATATGGAATTGTTGGTCCCAGGACTTGCCTTCTCTGAACCTTAATTCATATGAAAACTTGGTCTTTCCAAGTTCCTGTGCTTGGTAGGGGATTGCCCAGGATTAGATGCTGGGGAAGGAGAGTGTCCCTTCTACTGAGCCTCCACTTAATGTTCCTTTCTCTAGGAGAAAGACAATGTGTGGGACGCTGGACTACTTGCCCCCAGAAATGATTGAGGGGAGAACATACAACGAGAAGATAGATCTATGCTGCCTAGGGGTGCTCTGCTATGAGCTGCTGGTGGGAAATCCTCCCTTTGAGAGCGCCTCCCATAGTGAGACCTACAGAGGCATCCTCAAGGTGGGATGGCCACACTCTGGGCATTCATGTGGGGGCTGGGGGTAAGGGGTGGCTGGGAGCCTGGGGCACACACAAAGGTGGTCTACTATGATCCCAGCCAGTGCCTTGAATGAACTAAGGAAACTAACCATACTTCTCTTTCTTCTCTGGCCTCATCAGGTAGATGTAAGATTTCCTGCATCAATACCTTTGGGGGCTCGGGACCTGATCTCCAGGCTTCTCAGATACCAGCCCTCGAAGCAGCTGCCCTTGGCCCAGGTCTTGAAGCACACATGGGTCCAGGCTTACTCTTGGAGGGTGCTGCCCCCAGCTGCTCAAATGGCTTCCTTAGCCCTGTCCACCCCTATTCTTCTGTGATTGCTTATGGAACACCCTGGCTGTGGGATCTCATCTGTCTTTTGTTTCTTCGCTTGTTAAGATGCATCATGCTAGTTAATAAGGGCTTCCCTTGTGGCTCAGCTGGTAAAGAATCTGCCTGCAACGTGGGAGACCCGGGTTTGATCCCTGGGTTGGGAAGATTTCCTGGGGAAGGGAAAGGCTACTCACTCCAGTATTCTGACCTGGAGAATTCCATGGACTATATAGTCCATGGGATTGCAAAGAGTTGGACAGGACTGAGAGACTTTTACCGTTTAATAAAGGCCAAATCATTTATTTTTGGCTGTGCTGGGTCATTGCTGTTTAGGATGGGCTTTCTCTAGTTTCCATGAGCAGGGGCTACACTTGATGTGGTGTGCTGGCTTCAGTATTTGGAGCCCATGAGCTTAGTTGCGCCTCTGCATAGAATCTTCCCAGACCAGGGATAGAACTGGTGTGCCTTGCACTGGCAGGCAGATTCTTATCCACTGTGCCACCAGGGAAACCCAAAGCTGAATCATCTTGTACCAGGTCTCTTTCTTAAAAGAAAAAAGTATTTATTTGACTGCGTTGGGTCTCAGTTGAGATATTCATTACATCATGCTGGATCTTTTGGTCTGGCCGTGCACTCTGGTGGCAGGAAGGCTCTGGAACACGTGGGCTTAGTTGCTCTAACTGCCCCTCCCCCCACTGGGATCCTTGTTCCCTGACCAGAGATGGGACCTTCATTCCCTGCATTGCAACTTGGATTTATTTTTAATATATTTATTTGGCTGCCCTGTGCCTTAGTGGAGTGTGGGATCAGGTTCCCCTAGAAGGGATCAAACCCAGGCCCCCTGAATTAAGAGCCTGGAATCCTAGCCACTGGACCACTGGAGAAGTCCCACCAAATTATTTTTAAAATATGCTTTTACTAGGTCTAGGTTGGTAATTTCACTTATTTGAAACCAGTAAGCAGCGCTCCTCCAAAATCAGAAAACTTACCACAAATTAAAATGGACAAACATTCTTTTATTTTTTTTTCCATTTATTTTTATTAGTTGGAGACTAATTACATCATTACAGTAGTTTTTGTCATACATTGAAATGAATTAGCCATGGATTTACATGTATTCCCCATCCCAGTCCCCCCTCACCTCCCTCTCCACCCGATCAAACATTCTTTTAATCATCCGTGTGCCAAAAGGAGCCGCAGCTGGGGAGGTGATGCCGAGTAAACCTTTGGCCCTCGAGCAAGAGACGTACTAGGCAGAGTTTAAGGCTACACAGGGAGGGGCGGGAAGATCTGGAACTCACCACGCCGCCCTGGTAAAGAACCACGTAAAGAACCGGCCTGCGACGCGTCAGACCTGGGTTCAATCTCTGGGTTGGGAAGATCCCCTGGAGAAGAAAACGGATATCTACTCTAGTATTCTGGCCTGGAGAATTCCATGGACAGAGGAGCCTGGTGGGCTGCAGTCCATGGGGTCCCAAAGAGTGGGGACACGACTGAGCGACTTTGACCTTCACGCAGCCCTACTGCCCAACATTTCATTGAATGGGTCAGGAACTCTTCCACCGGCCCACATCCTAGTTACCCGGAAACGCAAACTTCCGGCGGGCCCGCAACTTCCACGCTGGGCAGCCCATTAGGCTATCCCGGGACGAACCGGAATTTCGTCATCGCGACTACCCGCCCACTCCCGGAAGTGACGCACGGTGGGGTTGCCGGAAGAAGTGGCGAAGTTACTTTTGAGGGGACCTGAGTCGCGGCGGCGTGCCAGGGGCTACGGAGAAGAAGGAAGAGAAGGCAGAGCAAGGGAACAGAAGCAGGTGCACTCAAGTGTGGGGCGGCGCGGGAGGAGCCCTGGCCCTGGGGCTTCCCGGCGTTCCCTGCGCTGCTTGGCTCAGCCCCCTTCTCTTCTTGCACCCTCTCGCCTCCTAGTTCGCGCCGCCCCCCGGCTGTTTCCAAGGCAACGGGAGTAAGGGACCCCCCGTAAGAGAGGCCGCCCACGAGACCCTCGCGCGCAGCCATGAGCCCCGCCCCCCACTGCTGTTCGGAGAGGGGCGGGACCTGGAGAGAGGTGTGAGGGCGGAGCATGATGGGAGGAGGTCGGGGGGCCTTGATGGGCGCAGATGGGGCGGGGCCTAGAAGGAAACGATGTGGGCGGAGCACGATGGGAGGAGGCGGGGGGCCGTGATGGGCGCAGATGGGGCGGGGCCTAGAAGGAAATAATGTGGGCGGAGCATTATGGACTGAGCTTGGGTCCGAAGGAGAGATGGGGGTGCTTCTTCGGCGGAGGTGGGGTGAAGCTGGAGGGGAAAGAGGAAGTGAGGGCGGAGCCCTCGAAACCGAAGGGATAGTGTCTGGAAAAATCCGGTGGGCGAGGTCTGTGGTGGATGGAGGGAGCCTAAAAGAGGGGAGCTGACAGTAGGGGAGGGCGGGGCTTGAGGCCCAGCCGAAGGCTGTCCTGGAGCAGAAATGGGGCGGGCCCTATTAGAACTGGAATTGGAGGGTCTGTAGGCTGGCAGAGACTGGGGGTGGGGTCTGTACGAAGTAGGGGAAGAGTGTGAGAGATGGAGGAAAGAGAGGTACCCTCATCGAGACCTGTGGCTGGCCTACTCTGACCTTCCCTGGCCCCACAAGGCTCTCCGCCCCCCTGTATCCTGCAGGCTGCTCCGTGACCCCACCATGTCCACCCCTACCACGAATTCCGTGGACACCCCCTTGCCTGGTGAGTGACCCCCCCCTTCCCCAACACAGCTATTCTCCCATCAGATTATTGTCAGCCGAAACTCACTGTGTCTCCCTCTCCCAGGAAATGACCCCAGCACCCCCTCTTCTTCACCTGGGGGAAAGGAGGATGGTCCTGAACCATGCCCTGGAGGGGCGGATCCTGATGCCCCAAGCACTGATGGGGCCGACTCAGCCTCCGTTGTGGGTGAGACAGGGTCTAGGGACATGGGTTGGGAGTTCGTATGGAGGCTCAGAGAGGAATCTAGAAAGAGAGAAAGATCAGAAATGGGGATGGCCAGCCCCAGTGTCTTGCTGATTTTTTTTTCTTCTGTTGGTTCTTGGTACCTCTTATTGTGACCTATTCTTTGGGATTCACTGACATACACATCTTTCCCTCTGAATCACCGTCTCCGTGGGCCCCCCTCCACACTCTGATTCGTTGCCTATGATCTCTCATGGACCTGTCCCTCTGGCTGCTGTTTATCCCGTGGCTCTGTCTCATGGCTTCTGTCCACCCATGCCAGTCATCCTAGACACAGCAGAGGAGCCGGAGCGCAAGCGAAAGAAGGGCCCAGCTCCAAAGATGCTGGGCGACGAGCTGTGCCAAGTGTGCGGAGACACAGCCTCCGGCTTCCACTACAACGTGCTCAGCTGTGAAGGCTGCAAGGGCTTCTTCCGCCGAAGTGTGATCCGAGGCGGGGCAGGGCGCTATGCATGCCGGGGCGGTGGCACCTGCCAGATGGACGCCTTCATGCGGCGCAAGTGCCAGCAGTGCCGGCTGCGGAAATGCAAGGAGGCAGGGATGCGGGAGCAATGTGAGTGCTGGGGAGGGAGTGGGGCCAGGCCGGCCCCTGTCCAGCCCTGGAGCCTCTACTGAGGCTTGTGTCTCCCCACCAGGCGTCCTCTCTAAAGAACAGATCCGGAAGAAGAAGATTCGGAAGCAGCAGCAGCAACAGTCATCCCCCACGGGGCCAGGAGTCAGCAGCAGCAGCCCAGCCTCTGGGCCTGGGGCCTCCCCTGGAGGGTCCGACGGGGGTGGCCAGGGCTCCGGAGAAGGTGAAGGTATCCAGTTAACAGCCGCTCAGGAACTAATGATCCAGCAGTTGGTGGCGGCCCAGCTGCAGTGCAATAAACGCTCCTTCTCCGACCAGCCCAAAGTCACGGTACGGCCCCTTCCACAGCCTCGAGGGATGATGCGCCCAGCGTGGTCAAGTTGACAGGGCCACAGTCCAGGGCACAGGGAGAGAATGAGGCTCCAGAGAACAGGCGCTTTGAGACGGGGTAGGCTTGGGCTCACAGGAGACATGCTGATAGTAACGTGACCCCCCCCCCCCGTGTCCCCAGCCCTGGCCCTTGGGTGCAGACCCGCAGTCCCGTGATGCTCGCCAGCAGCGTTTCGCCCACTTCACGGAGCTGGCCATCATCTCCGTGCAGGAGATCGTGGACTTCGCCAAACAGGTGCCTGGCTTTCTGCAGCTGGGTCGCGAAGACCAGATCGCCCTCCTGAAGGCCTCTACCATTGAGGTAACGGCCAGCCTGCCCAGTCTCGGGGAGTCCATTCCATCCTGCCCTTGAGGAAGTCCTGAGATAAACCCCAGGAGAGATGCCTGGGGCATAGGGACAAAGCAGACTCTAGGCCTTGCCCTGGTGCGGGTGGTATTCTCCAGGAGAACGTCAAATGCTAAACAAGTCATCAGAGCCCCCTGTGATGGCGAAGAAAGGAAACGGCCTGAGATGGAGAATAATTGAGGGTTGGGCTGGAGGGCCACACTTCAGGGAACATGCTGACAAGGCTTGTTCAGGGAGTTGATGTTTGAACCAAAACCATGGTAATGAGTAAGTGCTGAGTGTCTAGTGTATGCCAGGCCCTATTCCACGTGCTGGGGGCGTGGTGGTGAACAGAACAGACTGAAAGCTCTTCCCTGTGTCTAATAAGCACTTGGGGAGAGTGTCCTGAGTGGAGAAGGCTGGGGGTGCCGAACCTGGGGAAGGGAGAGAGCTTGGAGTGTCCAGCGTGCTGGCTGTAGGCCCTGTGACTGAGAGAATGGTGGGGTGGGCAAGGGAGGATCCCAGCAAGATCGGGCTCGCCCATTCAGGCCAGCGGAGGAAGGACAGTGGCTGAAGGGTCACAGGGCTCCTCCAGCCCCTGCCCAGCCCCTCCCCACCCCCCTCCCTCCGCCACCCTCAGATCATGCTACTGGAGACGGCCAGACGCTATAACCACGAGACCGAGTGCATCACCTTCCTAAAGGATTTCACCTACAGCAAGGATGACTTCCACCGCGCGGGTATGGCCACGGGCAGGCTGGGCAGTGGGGTCCCTGCTGGCCGGGAGACCCAGGGCCTCTCACCCCGTCTGAGCTTCCATCTGTTCACATCCCACAGTGAGAGCTAAGAGCACAGTGAGGTTATTGAGCCCTGACTCTGCACATGGGGCACATAGAGCAGGATGCGACAGAGGGGCATGTATTGTCATATAGGGCATCTTGGTAGGAATTAAGGAAAGACCCTATTTCCTCCCCAGCCCTGGTCTCATGTGAGAGAGGCTGGATCCCAGTCCATTGGGAAATGCATAACCTCCCCAACTGTACAGGGCAGCCCTGGTCCCTGCCCTCCAAGAGCACTTCCCTGGGGATGTAACCGAGGCGATGGGCTTCTGGAGATAGTGTGGCTCAGTGGGACCAGAGGACAAGGGAGGTGGCGAGTAGTGTTAGCTACCAGGAAACACAAGTGCAGGGCCTCACTCCGCCTCTGGGCATGCTCAGTGAGTCCTGCTCTCTCCCATCATCTCTCTGTGGGGCACTTCTCTGTACTCCTGGACATCTGCTCCTCACCCCATCTTTCCTTCCTCTTAATTCCTGGCTCTCCCAATACCCAGGGCCGTCCCAGTAACCCCTTGAGTGTAATCTTGGCAGGAGAGCACTGGGGGTTGGGAGAGTGTTGCTGGCAGGGGTCTCAGCATGTGCAAAGGTCCTGGGGTGGGGAAGAGCGGGTTTTAGGTTTTAAGGAACCACAGGGCGGTTCGGGCAGCTGCAGCACAGTGAGATGGGGCTGGAGTGGGGGTTGGTTTCCCCTACCGCCCCATCCTCTGCCATTGTCACAGTCCAGGCCTCAGCTGGCCCTTCTGGGAACATTGCAGGGCCCCTTACTGGGCTTCTACCTCCACCCCAGCCTGGTGTGTTTGTTCACACAGTCATCGGAAGGATCCAGTTAACAACCACGTTAGCTCACGTTCCTCCTGTTCTCAGCAACATCCGTGGCTCCCGTCACACTGGGAGAAAAGCCAGAGTCCTCACCTGGCCCACAGGCCCTGCAGGGCATGGCCTTATTCTCCCCTGCCCTCCCTCACCCTCCTCCAGCCACGGTGGCCTCCCCGTTACTTGAACCCACCAAACGTGCTGTCGCCTCACAGCTTCTGTGTTTGCTGGTTCCTCTTTCTAGAACTAGGATGACCGTCTTGTCCTAGTTTGCCTGGGACCTTCCAAGCTTTTTTTTCTTTTTTTTAAATTGTTTTTAGCTGCACTGGGTCTTCGTTGCTTTGCATGGGCTTCCTCTAGTTGCGGCAAGTGGGCTCTTCTCTCTAGTTGCCGTGCGCGGGCTTCTTGTGTGTGTGATGGGCTTCTCGTGTGTGTTGCAGTGCATGGGTTTAGTTGCCCTGCAGCTTGTGGTATCTTCCTGGACCAGGGATCTAATCTGTGTCCCCTGCATTGGCATGCGGATTCTTACCCACTCTGCCACCAGGCACGTCTCCTTCTGAGCTTTAATACTCAAAGTCCCAGGGCCTAGGTAGCCTAGTCCCAGGCCAGACAGACTGGTGGCACCTTTCAGGGAACACTTGCACATCCTGGTAACTCCCTCCCCAGTTTGGAGCCAGACACCCTTCAGCTAGGGAGGCCTTCCAACACCGTCACCTTGTGGTGACCCTCATGTCTAAGATGTGGACGTGATTTTCATTGGCCCCCGTTACCCTCCCCTGCATTACCTCGATCCATTAGAATCATCTCACAGGGTGGATGGCCTACTTATAGGCTTGTCTATTATCTGTCCCTTCAAGCCCAAATGCAAGTCCACCAGAGCAGGGGGCTTTGTCTTACAAGTCTCTGCCCAGGACCTGATATGCAGTGGGTGCTCAATCAGGTTTGATGAATGAATGAGTCACAGCTGGAAATGAGTTCTGCTTCACTGCGAGAGCAGGGGACGCCGCCACGGGGTGATGTAAGGTGACCTGGGATTGAACATCTTTCCTTTTCCAGAGGAGAGGTACCATGAAGGAAGCGAAGGGGGTGACAGGGTGGTAGAGCTTCTGAATAAATGTTCACACTCATTACTCATTCCTCCATTCAGGCGAGATGTTTGGCGCGCCAGGCCCTTGGTGGGCAGTGGGGTTACAGGGTGACCAGCTGTCTACCTGCTGCCATTTCCACCGCTCTGCTGACAGTGGGCAGTGCCAGGGGCCAGGCATGGGGCCAGTTTTATGGTCAGAGTGGTCATCAGAACCGGTCTCCTGCCTCCGCAGGCCTGCAGGTGGAATTCATCAACCCCATCTTCGAGTTCTCGCGGGCCATGAGACGCCTGGGCCTGGACGACGCCGAGTACGCCCTCCTCATCGCCATTAACATCTTCTCAGCTGACCGGCCCAACGTGCAGGAGCCCAGCCGAGTGGAGGCCCTGCAGCAGCCCTACGTGGACGCGCTGTTGTCTTACACCCGCATCAAGAGGCCACAGGTACCGGAGCCCAGACTCTCCCGAGGAAATCTAGACCCATGTAGGGTCAGCTTCCTACGTCCCTGGCGCCCCCCAGCAGCTGAGTTCTGATCAGTGTCCTTTCAAAAGCCTGTCCTCCAGGCCCCTGTCCCCTCATCAAGGAGTCAGGCCAAGTCCACGCCCAGGGTCCCCACACTGCCTCTCTGGGGGCGGGGGGGGGCCCCTTCTGGTGGGCCGCCCTGTGCCCACCCGCTTCTGTCCCCTCGCAGGACCAGCTGCGCTTCCCCCGCATGCTGATGAAGCTTGTGAGCCTGCGCACGCTCAGCTCTGTGCACTCGGAGCAGGTCTTTGCCCTCCGGCTCCAGGACAAGAAGCTGCCGCCTTTGCTCTCTGAGATCTGGGATGTCCACGAGTGAGGGGCCCAGCCACCCTGCCCCACCGCCCTGCACACCCCCAATGACTGGACACTGGGGTGGGAAGGAACCTGGCGGGGTCTGGGCTCCCACCCTGCAGCTTGGAGCTCAGGCCTTGGCCCCCCGCCAGCCCTCAGGATGAGCCCCAGTTGGGGTCCAGGAGCCTCCCTGCCTGCCCACTGAGTCTTCCTGGGAGGGCTGGTGGGGGTCATAGGTCCTGACCTCTGACCTCTCCAGCATTCCCAGCTGCCCTCCCTGCCCAGCTTACACCTCAAGCCTACCATGCAGTGCACCTTGAACGGAGGCAGGAGGGCCTGTGGCTCTCCCACAGCCCGGAGACCACAGGCTCCCCCCCTGCTCCTTTTATTTAATAAAAACTAAAGAAAACAAAAACAAAAACAGGAAAATAAAGTTTGACTAGAAACTTGCTCTGATTCAGAATGAGTCTGAGGTGGGGATGGGCTGCCAGGGTCTTCGTGGACACCAAACCCCTAGACCTGGTGCTGGACTAGGGAGGGTTCAGGGTGATGTGACTAGGCGCTCTGGGGGCCCAGGAGAGGCCCTGACAATCTCAGGGTCATCTGGTTGTTGGAGCCCACTCCTGAAGGTCAGGGAGGGTTTAAGTGGAGGAGGGCTTGGGGCTTTCATTCAATCAAGTATTGGCTGAGGCTGATTTGTGGGCCAGGCACTGTGCTGGCCATTCTCAGGACACAGATGTCATTCATTCAACAGATAGGTATGGAGCATTTGTGCTGTGCTGTGGTTAGTTGCTGAGTCATGTCCGACTCGGTGACCTCATGGACTGTTGCCCGCCAGGCTCCTCTGTCCAAGGGGATTCTCCAGGCAAGCATATTGGAGTGGGTTGCCATGCCCTCCTCCAGGGGATCTTCCTCACCTAGGAAGAGCCCAGGTTTTCCACACATTGCAGGCGGATTCTTTACCATCTGAGCCACCAGGGAAGTCCCATGGAGCGTTTACTATGTGCCAAATACACTCTTAGGCACTGGAAACATCAGTGAACACGATAGTCTCTCTCTTTGCAGACACCATGGAAAACAGTACGGAGGTTTCTCAAAACACTAAAACTAGGGCAATTCCCTGGCAGTCCAGTGGTTAGGACTCAGGGTCTGGGTTCAGTGCCTGGTTGGGGACTAAGATTCCACATGGCATTCATTGGGGTCAAAAAAAAAAAGCTAAAACTAGAACTCTGTCACAGGACCCAGCAATCCCACTCCTAGATATATATCCAAAAAACCCCAAACACTAAATTTGAAAGGATACATGCACCTCAATGTTTGTAACAATATTATTTACAATTGCCAAGATATGGAAGCGACCTAAGTGCTCATCAACAGATGAATGGAAGAAGGTGTCATACATATACACAGAATGGGATACTATTCAGTCACCAGAGTGAATGCTGCTATCTGCAGCAACATGGATGGACGGAGGGCACTGCTGCTGCTGCTAAGTCACTTCAGTTGTGTCCGACTCTGTGCTACCCCATAGATGGCAGCCCACCAGGCTCCTCCGTCCCTGGGATTCTCCAGGCAGGAACACTGGAGTGGGTTGCCATTTCCTTCTGCATGGAGGGCATTATGCTAAGTGAAATAAGACAGAGAAACACAACATACGGAATCTAAATACAATAACTAGTGACCATAACAGTAAAGCAGATTGACAGACTGAACAAACTAATGGTTACCAGTGGGGGGAGGGACAACGGGTGGAGGAATGGGAGGTAAAAACTATGGGTGTAAAGTAGGCTCAAGGATGTGTTGTACAACATGGACAATAATAGCCAATATTTTGTAATACTTGTAAATGGACCTTTTAAAAATTGTATTAGGGAGTTCCCTGGTGGTCTAGTCGTTCGGGCTCTGCTTTCACTGCCAGGAACTGAGTTCAGTACCTGGTCAGGAACTAAGATTTTGCAAGCTAGGCCACACGGCCTCAAATCAAATCAAATAAATAAAAAGATAAAGTCCCTCCTCGGAGTTGACCACCAGTCAGGGCTGGTCATGGGGGGCTGAGCAGGGACTGACAGAAGGTAAGCGAATGGGGGCTTTAATGGGGGCAGCATGGGACAATGTGGGAAATGAGTAGGGAGTCAGGCAAGGCCTCAAAAGAGTCCCAGCTGAGTTCAAAGGAAAGGCAGTGGACTTCCCCTAATTTCTTCAGCGCCAGGCCGTGAGGGGACACCGAGGTGAGCTGATGGACAGTCCCAGTCCAGGGTGAAGAGGGTGTTGTCTGGAGGGGTGGGTGGGGTACTGAAAATTATATTTTTGTATAGAGGGGAGAGGGAACGGGGGAAGTGAGAGTAGTTACACGCGATCGTCCTATCCCAAGCAAAGTGCCTCTCGCTCTAGAGACGTGCCTGCCCTGCGCAGAGTCCAGTTTACAGATGGGGAAGCTGAGGCCGCGAGACAGGAGAACCAACCTGGCCAGGATCTGAGCGCGCATGGGCCGGCCTTTACGGGGAGGGAAAAGGTCAGGTTGCGGGCTGAAGGAGGAACACTGCCCAGGCGGTCCTCCCTACAAGGCCTCGGCCAGGAAGCAGGGGGGTGGGGGGTGGGGAGAGTGGGGGTGGAAGTGGATGATGTGCGCCCAGCACCGTAGAGCGGGCAGGGTCGAAGGGAGGGCCGGTGCCCAGAGCCGCTGCGCGTGCGCAGAGAACACTGGGTCGCAACCCGGCGGTAAGGAAGAGGGCGTAGCTTTGAGCCACATGCGTCAGAGGAGGCGTGGCCTGGCGAGGATATGTCAGCAAGGGGACTAGACCACAGTCCAAGTTGGAAGGAGGGGGCGTGGTCTGTGTCCCATAGCGGGGGCGAAGGGGGCGTGCCCTCCCCTATTTGGGCGGGAGGGGCGTGGCCCGACTCGGCGCGCCGCGCCTCTGGGCCTGCGCGCGCCGGAGTCAGGGGTCACGGCGGCGTGGGCTGTGGCGGGAAACACTGTTTGAAGCGGGTGAGTTACGGGAGAAGGGGAATTGCAGGGGACTTGGCCTGGCCGGGAAGGAGGCTTGGGGAGCCGAGTCCATGGGCCTGAGAGAGGGTTGTGAGAGCTCGCGTGGGGCATGGCGACGGGAGGGATCCCCTTGGCTAGGGGGCGCGCGGAGGAGGGGCAGAGGCCAGTGGCCATGGGCGCGTACGCCGGGGCAGATGACGGGGTGGGGGCGTCCCCTCGGCCTGCGGCGGGCGCTGGCGCTGGCGCTGGGCGCCTGGGACTAGGCGGACGCATCTTGCGAATTCTTTGGGGCAACGGGTCCCGGAGGCATTGGATACTCGATGGTGCACGTGAGGGCATGGTGTCATCTTTTATTCTCTAAATACTGAGTACACTGTGCCCAGCACTGCCCTAGGAGTCGAGGCTACAACCCGAATAAATCAGAGAAAGCCTCTTTCCCAGGGGCAGACAGAGTTCAGTTCAGTTCAGTTCAGTTGCTCAGTCGTGTCTCTTTGCGACCCCATTGACTGCAGCTCTCCAGGCCTCCCTGTCCATCACCAACTCCCGGAGTTTACTCAAACTCATGTCCGTTGAGTCAGTGATGCCATCCACCATCTCGTCCTCTGTTTTCCCCTTCTCCTCTTGCCTTCAATCTTTTCTAGACAGAGAGTAGACAAAGAATAAGTAATGACGAAAACGGATGTTGTCAGCTGTGATTCGTTATCCCAAGGAAAGTAAAACAGAGTAGCCTGCATTTTTATTTCTAGAGTGAACAGGAGTAGTCCCTCTGGGGAAGTGACATTTGAGAAAGAAGCGAGCCCCAGAAAAAATGTTCTGGACGTGGGGGAGGGCTGGCTGTCCAGTAAAAAGTCCTTGAAGTAGGAAGGGGCTTGGCTTCCTTGTGATTTGTAGGGAAGAGTGAGGCTGGAGACATGGTGGGGAACCAGATCCTACAGGGCTTTGTAAATCTCAGTGTTCCCTTTAACTTTTACTGTAGGTTCAGTAAGGAGCCCAGGAGGTTTTGAGCATCACAGCAGCTTGATCCTCCCCTGCATTTTAAAAAAACTCACTGACTGCTGATTGAAGACAGGATTGTAGCAGAAGCGAGAGTGGAAGGAGGGGAGGCCAGTTAGGAGGCAAGGGGGAATGGCAGGTCGCTCAGCCTGCAGTGCAAGTGGGGAGAATCCATCAGGCGTAGGTTGTTTCTGGGGTCTGAGCACGCACAAGGTGAGTGTAGGGAAGGGGAGCCCAGGATGACTGGGGCTTGTGGTTTGAGCAGCAGGCTGGAGAGGGGAACCTGAGGGGGAGCGGGTTTAGGGGTGCCACCCTGAGGGCAGAGCTTAGGTGGAGCAAGTGGACAGGGTGATGTCAGTGTCTCAGGTTCATGGCCCCACCCACTCCAGGAACCTCCTGTTGCCTTTTCTCCCCCTCCTTCCTGCACTTCCCCACCCAGGCCATTCCTGTCCTACTCAGGGCCTTTGCTGGGCACTGGGGAGCTAGTGATAATTCAGTTTGGTTGGAAGAAGGACAGGGAATCTCAAGCCAGAGCTTTCTGAACTAAAAAGAGGTGGCACTAGTCTTTGAGAGCTAAGAGAAGAAACTGAGGGTTCAGGGTGGACTCGTGGAGTTGGCACCAGAGAAGAATCTAAACGGACACAACTTGAAGTGGCCTGCATTGCAGGCACTCTGCTAGATGATGCTGGGGACTCAGACCCAGACCCCTGTTTTTTGAGGACCTCTCAGCTGGAAGTTGTCACAGCTTGTGCAGTAATGGAAATGCCCCCAAGGTGCTGTGGGAGCCCCTAGGGGCCGCTGATCAGTGTGGAGGAACTGAACCAGAACTGAGTTTCAGAGGGTGCAGAGGAGTTAGGTGGCCAAGAGAAAGGAAGAGTTCATCCCGTAAACACCTCCCAAGACCAGGCCCCATGCTGGGTGACTCTGGGAATCCAGAGCAGCCTCAGCCCTGCCCCGCCCTCAAGAGTTCCCTGTCCGGTGAGGGAGCCAGACACAAGCTCAGGTGATCCACAGCCCAGGACGAGGGCAGCAGGAATCAGGAGGCCCAGAGGTGGGATCTGGCCAAAGCATGAAAGGTGTGGAGTTTTTTGGGGGGCAGGAGTGAATAGATCCATTTGTCATTGTTTAATCGATCACTTGACAGAGGTCCGTGAGCCAGGATAGGGGGTGAGCAAGCAGATGAGTCTGTCCTCCTGTCTCCCCCGCTGGGCAGAGGGCAGTCCACCCCCATATCTCTCCTGCCACCCTGGAGGCCAACAGCCTGAAGCGCTGATCACCAATGGGGCCCTGGAGCCAGTCTGCTTGGGTTGAACCCTGGCTCTGCTCCTCTGAGTGAGCCGTGTCACCTCAGCCTTGAAGGTGGCTTCCCGTCTCTGGGCCTCCGGGCCAGGCACTGTGTTGGAGAGTTAATAGCAGCACCTGCCTCAGAAGCTTTGGTGAAAGTTCTGAGTTCCTGCCTTTGTGCTGCAT